GCCGGCCGTCTTGCAGCCGCCGCGGCGAGTCTGCCCGTTGGCTGGATTGCCAGCAGCAGAGGTAGCGCTATCGACGTCATGGTCACCGTCATGGCGATGTTTTTTTTTGTTGGTTCCTCGGATGGGCCGCTGAGCTCATGCCACAGGAGGCCAGCCGCCTGCTCCGCGCCGCCTGCTTCCGGTCCCGCGGATCGGATCCCTGGCGGCGATGCGCAGCAGCTTCGATTGTTTTTCCGCCCTGGTCGATTCCGACCCCTCCCGGCAGGAGGGATTTTGCCCATCCCGTGCATGGTCGGGCGGCGCCGCGGACACCGTCCGCGTCGCGGTGACCGAGGAACCGGCACCGGCGAGAGAGGGCGACGGGGAGCAGTTCCTGGGCCCTCGTTTTGGTTGGAAAGCGACTGCGCAACAGCGGGAAGAACGCGCTACCGAGGAACCCTGTTGGTGGTTTGCTTTTGTCAATTTGACTGCGCGGCAGTGAGACGACCGCGCAACTGAGGAGGCGCAGCGGTTTTGCCTTCGTCAAACTGATCGCGCGGCGGCGAGAAAAATCTTGCAACTGAAAAAACCTCCGAGCACCCGAATCTGTTGGAGAAGGCCGTTTCTACGGCTCCGCTTTCGGTCAAACTGACTGGCTGCGTTGCGGATCGGTGGCAACATGCGCAACTGAACAACCGCTTTCGCAGCTCCACTTTCGGTAAACCGACTGCGTTGCGCCCGTGACAGACACAGGCCTCTGTGTTGTGTACTCAACCTTTCTCAACGGAGGCTCTGTATCATCTTGTCACAGCATGGAAAAGAGCCTCACATACACCTGCCTAGGAGGGGGTGCCCTTTGTAGGACCTGCTTCTCTTTCTTTATGTAACAAATCTTGCCTGTGACAGACACTGTCGTCGCTGCTGCCGCCGCGTCCGTCCACACCGCAGCCGAGCATGTGTCTCTGGAGGTGGAGGCCGCCCAAGCGAAGACCGTGATGCCAGTGCAGCAGGCCGCAGTGGCAACCAGGGAGGTTGATCTGCCCAAGCCGGCGCAAGAGAAGGAGGCCGAGGCAGCCAAGGAGGCGCCCAAGGAGTCCAAGAAGTCCAGCGGCAGGAGACGGGTGAGCAGCACCTGCACAGTATATTATGCCAGTTACAACTGCCCTCTTTGACATATTCACGGAGGTGTACGTAAATCCGAACCAACCATTTAAATACCTGCTCATCCAGCTTGCTTGTTGCTACTTGTTTGCACCCATTGCGATATACCCGACGTTGATACCTTATGTACTGCAGACGCGGCCAAAGAAGGGGCAAGGGGGGGCAGGGGGGTAGATCTTTTACAAAGCGAAATGGGTGAAAGGAACTGCTCACAAAGAGAAAGAATTTTGTTACAAAAGAAAGAGAACCAGTTCCTGCAGAGGGCGGCCCTTCCTTAACAGGTGTATGCGAGACTCTCTTCCATGCTGCTCAAGATCAGTGGGGTTGGGGGTTATGGGCTGGGGATGGGGATGCTTGTGTGTGTGGGTGTGTGGAGAGACCTCTTCCAATGGGCAGGCAAAGGGCTGTGAGGGGTAATGTGTTCGGTCTGGTGGATGGCTTCCTGTGGTGAGATTTGTTGCACTTCATAGCATATATGTAGCGTACTCGACTCTGATCCTGCTCATGAGCTCCCGACAGATAGCTTAACAAAACAAGATGTGGGTGCTCGGGCTGGTGGCGGTGCGGGATCGCGGCACAGGGCCCATCGGTGTGGCTGATGGGACCCCAGCATCTTGCCGCGGGGTGCGGCAGCAGCTGCCGGGTGTCAGGCCTTCAGCAGGGGCACCATGGCGGCAGCGTAGCAGTGCTGTTGCAAATTCTGGCAGTCACAGGACATCTCCAGGCCAAAATGGTGCTGGCACAGTGCTGTACCAACTCAGAAGCAGCGGCCAAGCTCAGCTCATTCCTTTGCCTAGCATTTCTTGCCAATTTTGGCTCGCCAATCGCATTTCATGTTATTGTTTCTGTGGTGAATTTGTGTAGCAATGGTATGGCATTGTGCTGACTGGCGTGTGCTGTGCCAGCGCCCGCTCATCCCCCTGCTGGGAATTGCCATCGGCATTGTAGTCATCGCCGTCAGAATGGCAAAGTAGGCAGCCGTGCATGCTTGCAGGCTGGCGTCAATGCACGCATGCCTGCCAGCGGGAAGGTGGGCCTCCTTCATGCTCGCCAGTTTCACCTGGCATTGTTGGTTTTGGTTTTGGCGCATCATAACAACATTTGGGCCACACCCACGTACCCCATCCCACCGGGATGCTGTGTACATTACGGGGGCATTTGTGGGGAAGTGCTTGTAACTGGGCGGGACCAAGGTGTAGCATTCTAGCATTTTGCGCTTGGCGGCACCCCAGAGGGTGTGTTTTGATTTTGCGGATTTTTCTGCCATCCGTATAAATGTCGATGATCATGTGTTCCGACCGCAAGATTGTTTTTTGGCGAGGCCTCGACGGCGAAGTGTTGTGTTGATGCTGTTGAACGCGACAAGGACTGAAACTCAAAGTTGGGGATGATTCCCCTGAACGTCGTGATGTGTCGTTGGTGGGGTCGTTTGGCCACTTTGGAAATCGTCCACTTATTGTTGTGGCTTGTTTTGCGATTTGATGGGATGGGGGGCCAGGATTGTGTGGCGGGCCCTTCGTAGTGCCCAAGGTGGACATCATGCTCCGTTCCAAAATGTTCGCATGTCTGGGAGGGGAAAGGAATTTGTCCAAGGGCTGTTGAACAATGAAGTGTTACTGCTGACATGTCCGCAGCTCTGGTTCGTGGCCGATCTCGAGAGCTCCCGCTCGAGGCCTTGTTGCCTGGATGAGAACATGTTTAGCACATAAGAGCAAACGCATAAATGTAGCGTGAATCATGGGACAAGCACGATGTAAGAAAACGGGCCCAAAGGGGGCCATTGTCCTCAAAGCCATAGAATTTTGCACATGGCAGCGCCCAGGCGATATGGGAGAGTGGAGGCACACTTCGTCATTCATTTCTACATGAAATGGCAAGGAGGTAGCCGCCGGCTTCCTGCTCTGTCGGAGCGAAGCAGTGTCCGTGATTGGTTCATTGAAATCCAATGCGTAACGCAAACAAAGCCCGGCAGACCATCAATTCCTATTTCCAAGAATCGTTAGTCGATGACAGTCCACGGAAAAAAATGTCCCTGCCAGTTGGCGGGCGGGGACACAGAAGCAAAAGACGTTTTAGCATCGCAATGTCGAAAACGGCAGCGCCCAGCCAACGGGCGCCCAAACGACACCCCAGCACTTTGACAAATCGTGCGTTGAATGAGTTCTACATGTACGCTAATGCACACTATCTAAATGCGCAATAAATTTTGGGCCCAGGGCCCCGGCCCGCGGGGTATCATAAAACTCGCTCACACACTTCGCATCACTCCGCCCCCTGCCAGTCGCCCGCACTACTCCCTCACCGGTCGACCCCGCTGCAGTACGAGTCGCCCGCAGCACCCCCTCCCCGCCCGACGCGCCCAGGACCCAGTACTTTACCCTTCACTTGGCGCCGCCCGACGTGCGCGGACCCCAGTACTTTGCGCTTCACATTGCACCCCGCCAGCACTACGCCCCTGCGCCTGCAGAACGCCTTGAGCGCTCCCGTTGTTCGTTTCGGCGCGCCGCTTCTCGTCCACACGCGCCGTGGCGCCCCGCTGTGGTCCATCAGCCCCCCATGAGGCGCTGGGCGCGGGCGGGGGAAGGCCACCAGCCGCGGCCCGCGAGTTAGGCGAATTCCTCCAGAATGGTGCGGGCCGGCCGATTGGGACCCAAGCCAGCGGTCCCGGGGAAGAGAGGTGGAAAAATGGCCCCCGCGTGGCTCCTCGTGGGGTTGATTTTGGCGCTGGGGGGCGCATGCGAAGAGGAGCACGCGGGGAGGGGGAATGGTGGCTTGTTCGTCGACATCGGCAGCGGCACGGCGTTCGTCAGCTCGGCGCAGGACCTGCAGACGGTGCTGTCGCCCAACGTGGTGGCGGGCGTGGAGCTGGTGATCGTCTCCAACGACTTCTGGCTCGACCCCCTGGCCTTCGTGCCCACGCTGGCGCTGAACAAGGACCTGGAGATCTGCGGGGGGGAGGGGGGCGTGGTGCTCACCGGCGTGGAGCCCGTGCACATCCTGAGCCTGGGCGCGCACCTGACCCTGTGCAACATGACCTTGGACCTGCCGTTTGAGGCGCCCCCCGACGCAGTCGAGCTGTACAGCCTGGTGCTGGACATGCGCCACGGCGGCCGGGTGAGGTTCAGGGATGTCAGCTTTCGGCTGGAGCGCTCGACGCTGAAGCGAATGGGGGTGTCGAGCCTGCTGCGCCGCGCATCGAGCGAGGGCGGCGCCAAGCACGGGGGCAAGAACTCCCGGTACGTGCCCCACGCCAGGGACGAGCGTGCGGAGGCCACCAATCTGATGCTCTTCCTGGACAACACGCCGCCGGCCGACCCGATCAAGCCCGTGGCGGTGGGCCAGGAAGGGCTGGAGATTGGGGAGTTGGCGAGGGCCAAGTCGCGCGGAGAGGACCCCCTTGAGTTGTCCTTCTCGCACAACCACACTGTGCTGGACTGTACCTTGGGGAAGTTCAACGAAGGGAGGCCGTTCGATTTGGGCAGGCCTGTTACGCTGAGCGGGACGGGCGCCGCGAGCCGGCCCTACCTGGACTTCGAGTCCAGGCTGGGCAACCAGGGGTTCATGAACATCCGCAAGCAGCTGAGGGTGGTGGACATGAACGTGGTGCACGTGGCGCTGAGGACCAACCTGCAGAGGGAGGTAAGCTGCCCGCCGGACAAGTGCCCCAACGCGCCTGAGGTGATTGTTCCGGACGTGACGGGCTCCAACGGGATCTTTAAGTTCAACGGCAAGGACCCGGGGTGCAGGATCGTGATGAAGAACACGCTGGCCGTGTACGACTGCGTGTTCATTAGGCACATAATCACCCTGCAGCTGTACTACCAGCAGAAGGTCCGGGCGGGCACCCAGCAGGCCAGGGCCTTTGACGACTTCGTGCAGATCATAGACATGGACTACAGGCAGGGGGACAACAACACGGCCCACTTCCGCAGGTTCATGGGCGGGGGGATGTGCTTCGAGAACGCCACCATCACGTGCAACCCCCTGGTGGTGGAGAACGCCGCGATGACGCCCTGTGGACAGGCGGATGCGGAGGAGGCGGTGGCCCCCGTGCCAAAAGCGCCCGTGGTTGTGAACAGCCCGGTGGAGATTCCCTTCCCAAACACGCTGCAGAATGCCCCCAACGCCAACGCGGATTCCGCCCCCAGCGCAGGTGCCGATTCCAGTGGCAGTGGTGTGCCCTGGACAGCCATCGCATTGTCGGTGATCCTTGGAGTTGCTGTGGTCACCCTGGTGGTCCTGTTCCTGGTGCGCAAGAGCCTAATCGCCGCCCTGCCCTGCAAGGGGCAGCCGGAGGGCGCCATGGACAGTGTGGCTGTGGAGGACAACGCCTGGGCCAAGAAATCGAAGACCAAAGGAGTGCCCGACAACACCTGGGCCAGGAAGTCCAAGGGCTCCACCGACAAGAGCACATCCCGCAGGGAGTGGAGCGACGCCAGCGGGGGCGGCTTCCTGTCCGCCTGGGAGGGGAACAAGTTTGGCAAGGGCAAATCGCACAAGGCCGCACCCTCGATCGACATGCCGAAGCCCAAGGCTACCGGGGACGAGAACCTGACCGAGGCTTCTGTGATTGGCGCCATAACCCAGGTCAAGGCTGGGATCGAGGACAACGCAGTGACCATCGAGGAGCAGATAGCTACGGGTGGGTACGGGGTCGTCTACAGGGGCACGTGGAAGGGGGTGTCGGTGGCCATCAAGACCGTGATCTTTCAGGACTTCGCCGACGAGAGCAACAAGCAAAGGCAGCGGGCCATCTTCGAGGCTGCCATCAGCTCCAGCGTCTCCCACAGGAACATAGTGCAGACATACGCATACTCCTTTAAGCGGCTGGAGGCGTCAGGGCTGGAGGAGGGCAAGCACCCGCTGTCGAGCTCGAAGATGAGCATAACGCCGAATGTGGGCATCGTAGACTGGAAACTGTACATAGTGCAGGAATTCTGCAATGCTGGGTCTGTCAGGCAGTGCCTCGACAACAAGTTGTTTCTGGAGCCGGAGACGGGGCGGGCGGACCTTGAGGTTGTTGTTCAGATAGCCCTGGATTCCGCCAAGGGTATGGCCCATCTTCACAGGCACAACATTGTGCATGGCGACCTATCCACAAAGAACATCCTCATGAAGAAAGATGGGATCGAGGGCTCTGGGATGCACGGCACCGCAAAGATCGCAGATTTTGGCCTGAGCATCAAGATGGATCACATGCAGAGCCACGTGTCCAATCGACGTGCGGGGACACCGTTCTACATGGCGCCGGAGCTGGCGCAGAGTGGGATGCTTTCCAAGCGGGCGGACGTGTTCTCCTTTGGGGTGTTCCTTTGGGAGCTGTACCACTCAAAGAAGTGCTACCAGCCCAATCCAGTGTCCGGCATGCAGTACCACCCCTTGTTTCCCAAGTTCCCCATCGTGTGCCCGATGCCCTACGCGATGCTCTGCGTTGCCTGCATCTCCCCAAACCCTGAGGACCGCCCGGACTTCTTCTTCGTCGTGCGCGTGTTCACCGCCCTCATGGAAAGGATCCAGGAGGGCCAGTACAACGCCCTGGAGGGCGTCAGAAAGATGAACATGAAGCTCACAGCAGGGTTGGGCAAGATCACCGGCACCAGGATCTTGGAGATGATCGCCGACCAGGTGGACATCCAGGTCAGCGATGAAGCCGAGCCAGCAGCAGGGTCTTTAAACGACACAGCGCACCAGACGAGCAGGAGCTCGGCCAGGAGCGATCGCATGCGCGGTGGCGATCAGAGGCACAGCTCCAGCGGCGTGGAGCCGGACGCCTCGCAGTCGGGGCCGTCTGCCCGGCTGCATTCGGCCAGCAGCATGAGGGGCAACCCCGTGTTTGAGGATGACCGCGGCGCGCCGGGCGAGCCGGGCATACGCCTCAACCAGGCGTTCGTCACGCCGTTCAGCTGCATCGTGACGCTGGACACCGAGAACCAGGACGTGGTGAGCTTCTCCTGGGAGAAGGGCAACGGGGCGGGGCAGCGGGGGGGCCCATCGGCAGCCGCCAGAGTGGCGCCCGACGCCCCGGTGGAGGAGGCCACCCTGTCGCTGTCGTCTTCGGATTCTTACACCCCCAGGCAGGCTGCCGGCGGTTCCCAATTGAGGCGCGCTTCCAATGCCCCCCACGCCTCCAATGCGAATTCCATGGCCAGGTCTGCCAGGCCCATCAGAACCGGGCGCGTGGATGCCACGGACAGGGGCCGCATCCTGGACGACCCCGACAGCATGGACTCGCCCGTGTCCCCGGGGGTGAGCCGCCTGCGGGGCGGCGGCAGGGACAGGGATGAGCGCCAGACCTCTGCCAGGCGGTCTGTGTCTCCCTTGGCCGGTCGACACCCCGGAGACCGCGATGCAGGGCAGCCTGTGTCCCAAAACACGGCATCCCCACGTGGGCACCGCCAGCACGATCACCGCTCCCCGAGGTCGACGGACAGGCACCGGCAAGCTCATGGGGGGCGCGGGGCCCCCAGGCCCAGCCCCAGGCCCAGGCCCAGCCCGAGGTCACACGACAGCCTGGGGCAGGGTGTGAGGTCTCAGGACGAGCAGCGAAGGAGCCCCAGGATCAATCTGGAGGTCAAGTTTCAGGGCGCAGATGACCACCCGGAGGTGCAGAGGGAGGATGCATCGCCGCATGTGTCGCCGGTTGCCGCTGAAGCCGGGGCCCGGAGACCCTACCATGGCCACAGGACCAGGGGGGCGGCCGGGAGGGCGAGGGATGATCCCAGGGCGGTGCCGGGCGGTGCCGTGGGGCGGGGGCCCGGGACGTCGATGCCCGGCCGGACGGAAGGGGGGCAGCGCCGGCCGCTGGACACCTCCGAGGCCTGGGCGCTCCTCGGCATGAGCGGCAGCCAGAGCAGGTACGGCAACTATGCCGCCGCGTCCTCGCGCGTGTCTATCGACCACCTGGACAAGACGATGAGCCAGACGGTGGACTCGCTGGATGGCGTTCGAGAGACGGGGTCTTGGGAGGATGACGCGCCAGGTGCCAGCGCCCAGGCGCAGAGGCGGTACGGGTGAGAAGTGCTGGGGCCGCAGTTTGGAGTGGCCGAGGCACCGCCACACCTGGGATTGGGGTTCCGCTGTAGCCCTCTGGCGTGGAGGAAAGTTGCTCTTAGAACTGAATTTTGTGAACATAGCGCGCTGGGTTGTCGAAATGGAAGCGCTGGCGGTCGTTTTGGACGCCACCCCGCTGTTTTGGTGCGGGCGGATGTTCGGTGCGGACCTTGTCAGCCCCTGCGGCCACCGGCGGCACTGTCACCCAGCGGGCCATGTGCAGGTGGCAGCGGCAGCCCGCGAGTGGCGGCATGCAGCGACCCAGGGCCACCAGGAACGCCAGGGGGATGTGGGTGGATGGATGGCCGAAACTCTAGGAAAATGAGGAGCTGTATCAATGGACTTGCAGGAGGCACTGACAAGGCGTCATTGTGTCATCATCATCACCAGGGACATGGCAGGCGGTCGTTGGGGCGGGTGCAGAACTGTAAGAGCGCTTGCCAGGCAGTTCATGTAGCTTGAGGTGCCGGGGGGTCTGACAAGGAGCTGTAAATAACACTGGGGGCACGCCGAAGTAGAGCGAGCAGATCGTGTTTCTTAAGGGGGCAATAACGGGCTTACCGCCGCGTTCTCGTCTTGGGGGGTCACCGGACGAGCGGGTGTGTCGTGCGCTCTCTCCCGCTGCCACCAAGGCAGGCCACCCACGCCTCTCGTGTGGGTCTGAACATTGGCACACCGGTGGGTGTCCTCCAAGACGGTTAATAAACGAGTGCTTTCGAAGTTTGGCGCATGTGCCAAGATGCGGTTCGAAGCCTTTTTTGCCTTGGCGGTCGGGGCGCCCGCTCTCGTTTGGGGCCTTGTGGGGGCGGGCACTTGCTGGTGCGCAGGCGCCGCGCCCCGCAGGGCGGAAGAGAGGAATCGACTTTGACTTGTAAACGATGTCACAACTACTCCATTCTCTGCATGGGGACGGATCGGCCTCGCGGGCTTGAACCACTCGCCCGCGAACCCCAGTGCGCGCTCGCGCCGCCCGCTGCCACACACCACCACCCTCTGCGCAAATTGGGCCCGCTGGCCCCTTTGTTATGTTCACCATTCTATGCACAGGCCACGCCCAGCCGCCGTTGCCATCGACGCGTTGCCCCCACATCGCCTGCAAGGCTTGAGCTGCGCACCGCGCCGCACCGCGCGTAGGCAAAACGCAACCTGCCGGCCTCATGGCCAACCACCTGTCAAGCGCCGCACTCCGTGGCCCCGCTCTGAACCAGCCTTCCGTTCTCCTTTCCGTCGTTCTCCTTTCCGTCGTTCTCCGTTCCGTGGCAAACCCCTGCTCCCCCACACTCCCCCTTTCCGCACTCATGCTTCTTTTCAGCGGGCTTTCCGGCGTCCAGCTCGCGGTTGGTTGCAGCCGTCAGCGCCCTCTGCAGCGTGCCGTTGTGCTCGGTCACCTTGGGCGGCACACGCTTGAACTTCTTGAGTTTGAACAAGTCGTCCTTGGGGCTCTGCAGGCTTGCGATGTACACCTGCGCCCCCATCCTGTGGCCCAGGCTGGCCCTTGTGTGGGCCTCGCTGTGTCTGCACTGCGGGCCCGGGGGCCTGCCGCCCGCAGCTGCGTTCATGTGGACCCAGTCCATGGCGTACGCGCCCTGCACGACGTGCTTGATGGGGGGTTCATCTGGCCTGTCGACAGCGCACAGCGTTCAATGAAAGAAGGAAAAATCTTACAGGCAGCATAAGAATTATGTATATACATATATATACGTTATATATATACAATATACTGTTTTCCAGATCGAAATAAGGCAAAATAAGCCTGCCGTATCTGAGCGCCACCTGGCCACCCAGGCCTCCATGCGTCGGGCACATTTTAGTCCAATGCAGGATCGTCTTCAGTGCATGAGCGGACAGTAGTTAACAGCACCATTGCCGCAACACGGGCACTGTGAGGATTTCCCGATACCTATCATTGCTGGACGTGAACGTCATGAAGGAGTCACGAGAGGTGGTGTGAAGGCCACGCGGGGTACCAGGGACTAAAAGCCTCAAAACCTAAGACCTGGAAATGATTTTCGTGTTTACGTGACCTCATGGCCATCATGACCTTCCTCATCTTCACGACCATCTGGAGAAATGACGGGCATTGATGCAATAATGCGTATAATAATGTATAATATATATAAATATAAATAATGCGACGCCGAATTATGGTGCAGGGAGGCCAGTTCATTGGCTCTGATGCAACATTTGCACATGCATGGGGGCCTATCAGTAATCACAAATTGCCCGTTTAAACCTGTTGCCCGTTTAAACGGGCACATTCTGGCGCGTTGGTCGACATTGTATTAACAGCAAGTCAGCTACAACATCGCACCAATATCTATTGTTTTGCCACATGACCCCCTTCGTGACCTTCACGATTTCACGTCCAGAAATGGAGTGCGTTGTAGACTACAACTTGCAGTACTTGTAGTACATTTGCGACCACCATGATCGCAGTTTAGTACAGAATTGGGATTGTCAACAAGAACCATGAAAAGGCTGTGGCCAATGTACAAAGGCATCGTCATCTGTGAAATACCATCTAACTCGGAGACTTTCCAAGGTCAGGAAGGTCATACATACCAAATATATGGCTTATACTGAGGAACAAATAGCCAAAAGTTGAGAAATAGAAATATGGAAACACGATTTAGCATACGGGAACAAACAATGAGCAAAAACCCGGTAGCACTGATGTCAAGATTCTTGAAAGGGTGTAAGTGGACAGATGTGACTGCCCACCCAGAGGTCCGGACTTGCTCTGCCGTCCTGTGGGCGCTGGGGGTCCCGTACACTGCCCGGGGGTCCTTCTGAGAGGGCAGGACGGGTCCCAGTGGCGTCCTCTCGCCCTTCCGTATGGTGACCGTATTGGACGCGCGGAACGCCGGCAGTTGGCTGGCCGTCGTCAACCCCCTGAAGAGAAAACATCGATGGGTTGCGATATTTTTGGAACATACCACTATCTTTAATATCATTTTTGGAAAATATCAATAATTTAACATCATCATTTTTAGTATCATTGTTAATATCATCGTATTGAAAATTATCGATTATTTGGGTGGCTGCAATGTCGGCTGGTGGGCAGATTGGGGCTGATGGGTGCTACGCAAGCTGCAGCGCAGGGCGAGCTGCATTGATGCGCACAGAGGCGCGGGCAGGGGGCGAGACACACTTTGCGCAAAAGGTGTCGACTACACCGGAAACAGAATGTAATCCACCCCCCTGGGATACGCCCCAGGGGGTGGTATAAAAACCTCCGGCTCACCCGTCCGAGGAAAAACAACAAAAGGGCCAACAATATAAAGCAATAAAGAACAACCCAAGATGCAAAACGCATCATGCGCAGTGTCAAGATTGTTGAAGGAGTACATGGCTCGCGTTGCTTGGGCTCCGGGATTAAACTAGTAGATGATTTATCTAATCTTCGTAAGCTTATTAAGCGGGTGCTTGGAACGCGCGCTTTTGCACATGTGGCTCAACAGGTGAAACATTGTTGAAATACTAGTACTACTATTGTTTATTATAATATAATAAAAATTGTTTACTATAAATTGTTTACTATAATATAAATGAAGCATCTCTGATAGAGAAATAGGGCGGCAATGTCAACTAATCTTGGACGGAGGAAGTATATAACCTCAATTTTCTGATCGCATTCACTCGCAAACTCCATATGGAGTTTTCACCGGGAAAACACCGTCCATTTCACGCATTTTCCAACGTTGTTAAATTTGCGGTTAAATGGGACCAAGGTGTATATATATACCGAGGTACGTCGCTTTCCTGAAACAGAGCTCACTCGTGCCGTGGGACTTACTTTATTGCCGCAAGTTTGTTCATGGCTCTGAAGTCTGGGCCCGGTTTGGAATCCGGGTTTGCAACGTGCTCTTTCCACAGCATCGTCACTGTCGGCAAAGGCACAGAAGCGCAATGCTCACTCCGTACTGGCGTACTCTTGCCGCGAAATGTTATGTATGGCTAAAGGAACACACTATATTTGGTGGGAGCAACGCATCAATCATGCAACACACAACAAATTATGTATATTGTTTGCGCTGTTTACGGCGTTTTCAAGTGTTCTCATAATATGAAAACGCACCATAAACAGCACAATCCAACAATATTTTGAAATTCACGATGTTGTTAGATATGACGCTTTGTCCACGGAAAAACATATACAATTCAATATTCCATATTCCATATTCCATATTCCATTGAACACAATTACAAGAATTTTGCGCAAGATATGCACGTGCAGGCCTCCCTTGATTTGTGCTTCGGTATTGCGCTTTAGATAGGTTCGACATGCGACAGTTTGAGCCTGAAAACAAGCTGAAGCAGAGTAGGCAAGTTCACTTTTTTGTGTGTTTCGCTGCTTGCAAATCAGGTTGCAGCCGTTGGTTATCAGTGCTGTCACGGCTCCTTTTTGTACCCCTTGGGGCCAAATTGGCCCCTCCGCTTTCTCAACCCCCAAACTGGCAAGATCAGTGCAATTACACCGTGTATATATACAACAATAATTCATCATTTATGCGATATATTATTGGGCTTAATTATTATCCAATTACTGAAAAAGCTGCTTAGATTCCACATGTACTTCACAACACGAGGTTGGCCGCTCAGCGGAAGTTCCCTTACAATTCCTTGCGCAGCCACCCGCCGTTGGACCGAACACGCTACCTGACGAGCGATTGGAATGCGCCGCCTCCGGCCACCGTACGGACGAACACAGACGCGTCTGTACGCGTTGCAATAATATATTTGACATTGAAAATGAGAGGACAAAACAAATGGAAGAAGAATAAAACATTCATGGACGCATACATGCCCATTGCTGCCTGCTATGTGCAAAGACACCGGTTTTTCGCAAGTGCCAGATTAAGCATAGGAAAATTTAAAAGGGATTTTTGCAGTTGCTGGCGCTCGTGAGGCACCACCAAGCAGGCCGGCTTCGTCTTCATGTTGAGTTCCAAGCTTCACCCATA